ACAGGATACAATAATTTATTTCATTATTCTTTTACTATTTTCAAATTTTTCTAAATAAACGTTTAAAAATAAAGTCCTTCATTGAGAAACCTTGCTGCATGTCAATCTTTTTCTTCCCTTCCACAGCCTATCCATACTTGATCTCCTCTAGAAATAAGTCCCAAAGTGACTGCACACATCTTTCTTTCATTTACCTCCCTTCCAAACCATGTGAAATTTTTTTAGCCAGACTAAATTCATGCAGATTACAAATTACATGCATTAACTTTCTCTCTAAATACTAAACTCCCTGAGGGAAAGGGCCTTATCTGGTAATTAACATAAATTTTGTAGTCTAAAAGGATTATGTACCACTTTTCATCACTGGCTGTGAACTCGGCCTCTCTTTGGCACATGGGAAATGAAGCTTTCACAATCCCATCCGAGGCTGTTCCTTGTGAAGGTTAGAGAAGGCAAGCCTGTTTCCATTAAGGCAACCTTCACATCTGACACACTTTTAGATACTACAAGTGATTTACAATGTTCTTAGCTAAAGACGTAAAAAAAAAAAAAAAATCCATGAATCTTCCAACTAATAAAAAACAGCCATTAATTACTAGAAAACTAGAAGTCCAAGACAGAATGGGACTGAAAGAATCACAATGCAAGAACAACCCTCATCCCAATCCTACAGATAAACAGGTTTCGAATAATCCCAGCATTCCACGTAACCGATGTAAAGGTGAAGCATGAAGTGTTGAAATCTAAAGTATTAATAAGCTATGTTTTATTCTATTAATTCAAAGTATACTTAAGGTACATTTGCACAATGTTGATCAATTCACCAAAATGCTGCTTCTGACCATTACTGTCAAATTTACTTATTAGATAAGACTGTCTTTACTAAATGGAATGCATTCTGTTAGGTACTACAGAGTATGTAACAATTAAAATATTCCCTCCTCCTCTAATACAAGTTATAGAAGACACAACTACAATACAAGACAGATATAAACACTGTAAGCCTGTGTCAAAGCATCTAGGAATTCATGTGAGAATGTCATGCCTGACTGGGGTCGTAGAAGAGGTGATGTAACAGAACTAAGAGAAAAACATCAAGAAGCTGAGCATGTACCCTGAAAATTACAAATAACCCAAATCCCTTAACAGTATCATGAGTCTGCTCCTAACACAGATGTCAAATTTTACTCTATATATACTAAGTTGAGCTCTTATATACTTGAAGAAGAAAGGTATCTGACCTAAAAACTCCAAGTCCACCAACGCTGAAGCCACATCACTGGAAATTCAATTTTACTGGGCTAGCTTTCATAATGCTATCCAAGTCGAGTGTGAGAAAAGGCAGGGTTCTTGGATCAGCGGCTTCTAGCAGATAAGGCTAAACAAGGCAGTTGCAAAGAGCAACAGGTTCTTTCAACAGTGGATACATAGTTGCAAACCAAAGCACAGACAATCAGGTAAGTGCAGAAGGGACTCGTGATTAAATATTAGTCGTTTCAGGTTCATCCACAAATATCAAACAATTAGCATCAACACTATCTTTATCTTCCAACTCCAACAGTGTTTTCATAATGTAGCTTATTATAGTTGAATGTGGAGGTACTTTTTAGCAAAATGAATCCCTCTCTAAATTCAAGTAATAGAACTGTTACACATTATGGAAAAAAAGAAGTCAGCCATAGAAAAACAAATATCATGAGCAATATATTCTGCACATTTTGTCTTGTGTTGTACATATGTGTCTTGTATCTTTTAATTGAGAGGAGGGAAAATCGAAGTCTCTTACTAATTCCCCCAAGAATCCTGGAGAGAAACCTGTGAACAGCAGGAATATAAGTGGTCCATTCAAAAACAGACCGAAGGAAAAAGAAAAGCTTGATTAGCATAATTTTTTTTAATGTACAGTAACTTCAAGGAGAACTCATATCACACTAAAAACAGTATTTTTTACCTTCTCAATCATAAAATACATACACTAACAAAAATTTAATATTCAAGCCTTAAAAAGTTACATAACACCTTCATATTCACTGATTTACGTTACTCACTGGGCATACCTACACCAACATCACTGATGATAAGCTTTTGTTTGAAGCCAATTTTTTCCAACCAAGGAGGTTCAGACTATGCTCAAATCTTTAAGACAGAGAAAACCCCTACAATTGGGCAAACAAGATAAATGTTTAAAACATGGAACGGGCTAAGCTCAAAAAGGTTTTCCTATTTAAAAGATTATTCCAAAAATCTCACTTCAAAGAAAAAAGATACCTAATTTTTTCATGCTTCCAATTCTACTTTGAGTAATATTTTACTGTGAAGTTTGAGAGCCTTATAGCTAAAAGATTCTCAAATTATTCTGCCTGAAAACCAGGTAACTGCATTTATTCATTTGCCTCAATCAGATTATATAATCAGATTTTCCAAAACCTTGAAACATGTGATTCAAACACAACCATCACAAAAGTACGAATATGCACTAGTATGTTTTCTCCCGAGTACATCTGAAAAATCTACTCTTCTCCTGAGTATGCTGAACAATCTACTCTTCAGGTGGATCATTTACAAAATAAGAACATAATTCCCTGAATCAGTAAAGTTAACTTTATTTTCATGAAAGGATGACAATGAAATTCCACTTACACTATCACAATTTACATTTTCCTGCAATTCATGCAGCTTTCTTCAATCCACAATCTACAAACCCCAACCACACACAAATTTGATGTTAGACGGATATTTTAACGTTTAGTTCTCATCTCAACACTCACTGTTGCTACAGTCTCTCATTCCCACTGTTCACTGTGTTACCTGGAGAACAAAGGACTAAAGAAGCCAAAAAGAACTAGATCAAATGATGAGGCCAGTTTTCAGGGTAACGCATAATAACATCAGCTAATCAAAAACTGGAGTATTTCTACCATTTAATCCTTCAAGACAATAACCTCCTGTTTTCCCTCACTCTCCTTCCAATAACTTGACAGAAGTCTGGGGAAGGTTGGATCTCGAGCCGAAAACCTTCACAAATGTGAAAGCAAATGGAAATCCTAGTACAGTCACGTGACTAACTAAAAATCCCAGAACTCTGTAAACAACCTTTGTTCTCAATGCAAAAATCATTTCTGTACTTTAAACCTCACTTGAGCTCCTCCAATAATGGGTACTACTTTACCAAGTTATTAGTTCTATTAATAATTATTTGAAAATTCATTCTTCTCGATGATTCAAATACATCTAACTGTAACTATTTCTTATGTGCTGTGGGGCTAAATAAACTGCTCTGCTTCAAATGAAAATGTGTAGCTACTGGAAAGCCTTTCTCCCAGTCTCTCATTCTCACTTTCCGAATTTGTGACCTATCAATTTCAAAAACGTATTCTATTCCAGTTTGTCCTTAAAGACTCCTAAAATGGAACACAGTACTTTACTCACAGCACCTTTTTCTTCAAAACTTAAATTTATTCTTTTAACTGACAATGCAATGGGAGTAGTAAAACTCAGAATCTCCTCAACTGCTAGTAAGATCTAGAAAGTCTAGATAAAAATTCATAAAAATCTGTCACTGTAACTGAAGCTGACAAATGGTGCTTCAAAAACTGAACACCTAAATGCAAAAGAAATGAACTTGGAACCCTAATTCACACCATATAAAAATTATCACAAACTGGGTTATGGAACTAACAGCTAAAACTCTGAAACACTCAGAAGAAAACATACAGGTAAATCATAATCTTGGATTAGGCAATGGTTTCATAGATACGCCACCAAAAGCACAAAAAACAACAACAACAAAAACTGAGATCATAAAAATGTAAAAACTTTTTTCATTTCAAAAGACACCATCAAGAAAGTGAGGAGATAACCCACAGAACAAAATGTTTGTGAATCACAAATCTGAATCATATTATTTGCATCTAGAATATATTAAGACTACAACTCAGTAAAAAACAAGCCAATTTTGAAATCTGAACAGATACTCCAAACAGTAATACACAAACGGCCAAGAAGAATATGAAAATACGTTCAACATCATCAGAGATCAGAGAAATGCAGAACGAAATCACAAAGAGATACTACTTCATACCCATTAGGATGGCAATCAACAGAAGAGTAGCAGTAAGGGCTGGCAAGGATATGAGAAAGATGAGGAATTGAAACCTCATTCACTGCTGCTGGAAATCAAAACGATGCAGTCCTTTGGAAAACAGGCCGGCAGTTCCTCAGTTATTAGCATTTCATTAATGAATTAACAGGATTTTTAAAAACATTTAGTATAAAACTGACAAGTATCATTTTATTTCACAAGAATGAAAAACAGATCCAGACATGTTTCCTTCGTGTGTGTGTGTGTGTGCGCACACGCGTGTGTGTGTTACTGTCAATGATTACTAACAAGTTACTGTCATGATTCACTAACAAACCAATTAAAATAGCTCACTAATTTATTCAATTCCCTGGTTTTCAAATTTTCAAGTAAAAAATTACCTTCTAGCCATGCGCGGTGGCTCACACCTATAATCCCAGCACTTTGGAAAGCCGAGGTGGACAGATCATGAAGTCAGGAGATCGAGACCATCCTGGCTAACATGGTGAAATCCCATCTCTACTAAAAATACAAAAAAAATAGTTGGGTTCGGCAGCAAGCGCCTGTAATCCCAGCTAGTCTGGAGGCTGAGGCAGGAGAATCGCTTGAAGCTTGCAGTGAGCCAAGATCGCGCCACCGCCCTCCAGCCTGGGCAACAGAGCAAGACTCCACCTTAAAAAAAAAAAAAAAAAAAAAAAAACCTCCAAACTGACAATGATTTTATACTTCAAATAGTAAGCTGGGGAAGGAATGACTTTTAATCAAATTATGGAATGGGCTACTAATCAGTATTAGCAAATAAAGCTGACAGAGATACCACATTTCTTTTAATTTTGCTTTTAATTTTTTGGATTACATAGTAGGTACATATATTTATGAAGTACATGTGACATTCTGATACAGGCATGCATGCGTAATAAAAAATATGAAACACTTCATAAAAGTGTGTGTCATCCTTGTGCAGGGGTCATGCTAATCTTTGTATCACTCCAATTTTAACATACGTGCTGCCAAAGTGAACATTAGTTGCCGCATTGTTTAAAAGGTAGTCATTAACTAGAAATGCCTCTCTCAAAACAAGACCTGTGAAAGCACAGGCTGCTGGGTCCCACCCCGCTTTCTGACTCAATGGCTAGGTATGGGATTCAGCCAAGAATCTGCACTTTCAACAAGTGAGGAGGAGATGTTGATGCTTCCAAGGACCATGCTTTGAGAACTACTATACTATCCTGAATCATCTAACACAATATTCTTTTCAAGACAAAAAAGGGGTAATATTAACGATCCAATCATTTGTCAAGTATCATTTACCAGATACATCAGAGAAGCTTTAAATCATCAGGACTTTCCCAGGGTTGCTTGCTCCAATTAATGCATCTTCTACTAATATGCCGATAAGATGCCCTTCAAGTCCTGCATCCATGAAGCCTTCTGACTCCTCCAGCTAGAAACAACTGCATATTCCTTTGGACCTAAGTCATCACTTGCACCATAAAAAGATGACTGCCAACTTGTAGGACTTGTTTAGCTACTCATATTGAAGACTTTCTTACCAACTAACTAAGTTCCATGGTAGCTTACTGAGGGCATTTTCATATTCCTCACAATTCCTGACACTGGCTCTCCATAAATATCCAATAAGTATGTCTTCAGTAAATAATTAAAATCAATGTAGCCTTGATTTCACCCCCTTTTCAGTAAAAAAAGAAAAAGGCACAAATCAAGCTATTACAGAGAAATGAGGTCCAAATCAAAGCCTTTTCCATTGACTGTACATGATGTTCAATTACAATATACAGCCATATACGTTTAGGCTTAAGGAATAAGAACATTAGAATGGCAGTTTCAGCAAAAGCAATGTAACTCTTCAGTTGGTCAACTAACCTACAGTTCTCCTCTCACGAAATGCATTCAACAATACAAAAGTTGGATTGTTTTAAAGGTAATTGTCCGGGCCGGGTGCAGTGGTTTACGCCTGTAATCCCAGCACTTTGGGAGGCCGATGTGGGCAGATCACGAGGTCAGGAGTTCAGGACCAGTCTGGTTAATATGGTGAAACCCCATTTCTACTAAAAATAGAAAAATTAGGCCAGGCCCGGTGGCTGAAGCCTGTAATCCCAGCACTTTGGGAGGCCGAGGCGGGTGGATCATGAGGTCAAGAGATCGAGACCACCCTGGTCAACATGGTGAAACCCCGTCTCTACTAAA